GGCGGCGGCGGCGGCGGCCAGCGCGGCCATGCCGCTCATCTGCGGGCTGCTGCCCATCACCTGGCGGGACACGGGCCCGCGTGTCCACGGGGGTCCCCTGTGCCCCCCGGGTCCCCCGGGTCCCCCTCGTGTCCCTCCGTGTCCCCCCGTGTCCCTCCGTGTCCCCCCGTGTCCCCCTCGTGTCCCTCTGTGTCCCTCCATGTCCCCCGGGTCCCTCCGTTCACGTGCACGAGGAAGAGGAGCATCTCGGCCTCGGCGAGGCGCCTCCCGATGCACTGGCGTGTCCCATGTCCCCAGTGTCCCCAATGTCCCCAATGTCCCCAATGTCCCCGTGCCCCCATGTCCCCGCACTCACGTGCACGAGGAAGAGGAGCAGCTCGGCCTCGGCCAGCCTCCTCCCGATGCACTGGCGTGTCCCGTGTCCCCGTGTCCCCAATGTCCCCCCAATGTCCCCAATGTCCCCAATGTCCCCGTGTCCCCAATGTCCCCAATGTCCCCAGTGTCCCCAATGTCCCCAGTATCCTCAGTGTCCCCAATGTCCCCTCAATGTCCCCCTCGTGTCCCAGTGTCCCCACACTCACACGGACGAGGAAGAGGAGCATCTCGGCCTTGGCGAGCCGCCTCCCGATGCACTGGCGTGTCCCGTGTCCCCATGTCCCCAATGTCCCCAATGTCCCCAATGTCCCCCGTGTCCCCAATATCCCCAATATCCCCAATATCCTCAATGTCCCTGTGTCCCCATGTCCCCCGTGTCCCCATGTCCCCGCACTCACGTGCACGAGGAAGAGGAGCATCTCGGCCTCGGCCAGCCTCCTGCCGATGCACTGGTGTGTCCCGTGTCCCCAATGTCCCCAATGTCCCCAATGTCCCCATGTCCCCAATATCCCCAATATCCCCAATGTCCCCAATGTCCCCAGTGTCCCCATGTCCCCACACTCACATGGACGAGGAAGAGGAGCATCTCGGCCTCGGCCAGCCGCCTCCCGATGCACTGGCGGGCGCCGAAGCCGAAGGCCAGGGCGCGGAAGCCGAGGGGCGCCGGGCGCAGCCAGCGCTGCGGCTCGTAGCGCTCGGGCGCGGGGAACA